TAGAAGGCAATCAAGGCTGTAGTAACAGCACATGAAATACATCTGTAGAAAACAGACAGATGCCGTACTACATCGTGCGTGCAAACCAAATATTCACCGTGTCACGTATGAGAAATACACATACTCATACACAGACTCACTGTAATTACCTCCGCCAAGGAGGTAATGTAATCGGTCTCGTGTGTGTGTTGTCGTGTGTGTCGTTGTGTGTTGTGTAGCCACTAGTGTTCGCAGCGATCGATTCAGCAGCAGCTCGCCTTAGGGCATCGAGTCAGCAGCAGCTCGCCTTAGGGCGTCCAGTCAGCAGCAGCCAGCAGCGAGCCAGCTGTTATACACATACATGTTACATGCTGGCGGAGGTATGCACTCTCCGTGAGTGCCCTCTGTCTAGTTATATCTGCACTGCTAACCTCCCAGATTCTATTCTACTACTACTACAACAGTGCTAATTCCTCACAGGTTACATTCCTACACCAGCATACATTAGGCCATGTCTCTTCTCAGATGTTAGAAGTTGGCTTGGTAACACTAACCAGCTGCACCTACTACTACAACAACAGTGCTAACCTTCCAGATTACATTCCACCATTCAATACATTCAGCCATGTCTCTTGTCACATGCTAGACGACAGCTGGGCTTGTAACACTAATCATGGCCTGCACCTACTACTACTGCAGAGAGGGTCTATGTCCCCCGGGGTACTGCCGGAACGTACCCTGGGTGCGGTCCGGTATACCGGAACGCACCCTGGTACTATCTAATATGCCGTACCGTACCTCGCCTACTCCACTAAACGAGTCTAGGGAGTCGCCTAACGCCTACTCCCTAACCCTAATCCTAACCCTAACCATATCAATAGTGACCAGGGGTACGTTCCGGTATACCGGACCGTACCCAGGGTACGTTCCGGCAGTACCCTGGGGGACATAGACCTATGTAGCACTACTACTGCCACAGTGCTTCACCCTCGTTTCAGCCGTACCGTCGCTGCGAGCGTCCGTGATGGAAGCCAAAGTCGAGGATGTTGTTGAAGGACACGCCGCACTCCATCTGGATGCGAAGCAACAGGTGTTGGTAGTAGCCGGTCGCCGCGAGGAGGTGCATGCGATAGTGTCCGCCCGTCGATGGGTCCTCCATCCTCTCCTGCAATTAGACCCGAGGTCATGTAGTGGACGGTCGATACGGTGTTAGCGGTCACCTCTGTAGAAGGGACACCTACCTATAAGGGCACTCAACCGTGAAGGACACATCTGAAATTTCCGCCAAGTAGGTGGTACACGGTGGAATTACCTCTATAGTATGAACACTTGTCTATAAAGCAAGCTGTGTAACAAAATGGCATTTCACATGTTTAGCGATATTATAAAGAGAAGGAAAGATGAGATTGTTGGTATAGCCATGGCAGCCATAGTGGGTCGAATATCTTGCGAGAAGCAAACATTACAATGCTGGTGGCAATAGTTGAATTGGAAAAATAAATACAGAATTAAGGGAGTGAATTACTCGAATGAAAGAATGTATGAATGAATGAATGAAAGAATGAAAGAATGAAAGAATGAAAGAATGAAAGAATGAATGAATGAATGAATGGATAAATAAATAAAAGCATGAATGAATGCAAGAATGAATGCATGAATGAATGAATGAATGAATGAAATAATGAATGAATGAATAAATAAAATGTGAAATCTCTCCGGGCTCGCACGCACCTTTCTGCTCTGTTTATATGCCTGCATGGTCTCATAGAAGCAGCGTCTCCACAGAACTTCCTCAGCTTTGCGGCTGTACTCCACTCTTCCCACAAACATCAGCTTCTCACAAAACTCCTTCAACCTGCGCAGCCAACCAAACTTATGAGCCAGGAGACATTTAATGAAAACAAATACATAAAATGGCTTATATTATAACAGAACGAAACTGGAAACGATCAGAGAAAACGCCAATTGAAATGAAAATTGAATTGGATTTTTTTCACTTCAATTTGCTGTTGCAGTGGTGTCAGGCGTTGATGTGTCGCATACCTACCGTTGTCTGTAAGATACGCTATCCGGTAAGAACATATCCTTAGCATTTTTCTTTTGCTTAGATATTGTTTCCAATTTTTGCAAGGTATCCACGATGCCACTGAAAGAGAAAATAGTACGGCCTCCCTCATTTTCAATTTTCAATTAGTAAGCAAGCATCGACTCAGGAGTCAGGTGTTCATAAAATATTCATATTGGCTCTAGTGTTTCTTTCACATTGACAACTGTGACTTGATAGTGATACACTATTTACTACAACTAGTGAAGTTAGTGACTGCACTACAAGTACAACCATTAACTAATGACTAAGTACACTAGAAATGAAGTTTTATAAGTTGTGTTAGTTTTGTGTTTGTAAATTGTAGGCCCCCTATTGTTTATTTATTTACAGTTCTAAGTGGATTTTTAAAGTTTTGTGCACGATGTCCAAAAAATGGTGCAATGCATTTGTTTACATACCGATATAATCGCTTCGCAGTGTCAATTTCCGCCTTCTTCTCCATAGTTATAGCTCCATCTAATCAACAGATGCATAAATAACAATTAAAATCAGCTGAGCATACACTGTAGGGCCTACTGTAGTCTGTACTATTTCATGCTTGATGCACATCGGCGACACTACTGATACCAGCCGCCGATCACATGAAAGTAGTGTCGAAGTTGTACATGAAATCACGGACAGAATGTCAGTGCTACTAGCTGATTTATAATCTTTTAAATGTTTAAAAAATGTGTTAGCACAGTATCCGTAAAAGTAAGGGCCGGCCCGCACTAATTCATAACTTGACGAATGTAATAAACCTAAAATATACGTTGTGTAAAGCTCTTTCTATGCCCTCTCGGAGCGGTAGTCGGCGGCCGGGTTCGCGTACGTCATAAGAAATGCTATCTTGTTTTATAGTAGCGAGCATGAGAATGGAAGTTGTGACTTATGTTTTCGTTTTATATTTACACGTTTAACGCACAAAAAGACACTCATTAAAAGCCGGAGTTCGTGTATAGTAGCACTGTCTAGACGCAGACATGTAAGCTTAATAGTTATAGCGTATTCGAGAAAGGAAGGTACTTCTCTAAGTCGACATTGTAATTTGTAGTACTGCTGTCACTGTCACTATAACTCAGTATAACTATAAGTATAACTATAAGTATAACTATAAGTTAACTTGGTGGCTAAGTACAGTCTGTTTCCCAGTTTTAATATCTTATTCTACGTTGGCAATCGCAAACCACATCACCTGTTTATTGTACTCACTGTTAGCCTTCTAGACCAGGAACGACATGGGTACATATTTATATCAGGCATAGTACTAGTAGCATCAGTGACAGTGTTGCCTGGCACTGAAACTGGAGTGCAGTGATGTGCAAAAATGCTCCAAATAGGGTACCCGTATATTATACCCTGTTGACACCAGCTGGAGTGGAATGTGATTACATACTTATTCAGTATTCGTTTCACATGTGACCATGTACACGTACTGTAATATAGTGTAACCTAGATTTAATGAACTGGTTAATGCGAATAATGTGCCAGATGCATAAAATTGTTATCAGTGCACTTTGGAATAAAGCTGTAAGAATGAAACAGCGATTATAGAGTGCCAGTAGGTAAAATAATGAATCCGTGTATTGTTATATATGTAAATTATTTTGTGGCAATTATATTTGTTTTTTCCCCATCTAGTGTGCTATCGCTTAATGATAGGGCTATCGAGACAGTCATGTCTAGTACATCACGAGTTCGATCACAAGTGGTGGCACTACTGAATAAGGTAAGTACTCCCTTCATGGTGGGTATGGTATTCGCGATCATGCAAATTATATCATCTCTATATCAATGATTCGAAACATAGTAAAAGTACAACTCATTGCCAACTAGTAAAAGATGGAATCTAGTATTAATACCTCGTAAACTGTTTATAGTGTAACTGGGTTTGAAAGGGTTGAAAGATTTTTGTTCCTGGCCTGTGAAAATCATCAATTGATTATAAATACTTGGAATGGCTACGTGAACTAGTAAGCCTTTATGGCAGAATTAAAACAGTTAGGAGTATTAAAGATAAAACATGGATATTCTTTGGAGAGCCTGTGTTTTTTAATTTTTCCCAATTTCATTGAACTATAACAGGCACTTCAACAATTTCATACTAACCCAATCACGATCCACTTTGGCACTATAACATGCACTTTTTAATTTCATACTAACCCAATCACAATACACTGCTCAGCATACTTGGAAATTATGGTGTCAGCGTAACTGTGTTGAACTCTAACCTTCGTGTAACTGTTTAGATGGAGCCCATTGGCCATATTAAATCATGGTTCAAGACGAAGAACGGCACTCCACGCCAGCCAACGATATGCTCACTATCTAGAGGAGTGCTCAACATTGACAAATCAGTTTTCAACAACCCGGAACATTCGTTAGCGGGCATCGAAGAATTTTCACACATATGGCAAGTATTCGTGTAGAGCAGTCCGTCAACAGTATGTTACGTTGTCAACGCTTACTGCATATTTAACATTATATCATGGTAAGCAGTATTTCTAAATACCACAACAAGCGAGTTGTCCATACGATAAAACGTATGTCCACAGTGACCACTATAGAATAGACAACTGTCATTAAAGGATGCCATTGTCACTTCCCTTAAGGGGTCCATATATACAGGTCTGTCTATATTTCTATTCTATTGCTACATTATGGGAAAATTGTTATTGCGTGTCGCCAGGAATGGAAATGCTATGTCAATCTTGATTCTAACCTAACAGTCATGTTGGGATCTGCAGAGTAGGTTCAGTGGGACGGATATTAAACGTTTTGGAAAAATGTTTTGTTTCTTTATTTCTTGCAGGATCATCTTCGTTTTCGATCGCAATGACGGGCGCCACCTGCGGGCGAAGGTAAAGCCACCACGGCTCAACGGGAAGCGCGTCGGCGTCTTTGCCACTCGCTCGCCCCACCGTCCCAACCCCATCGGGCTGACGCTAGCAAAGCTCGACCGAGTCGAGGGTGAGTGAGATTCCTGTCTTAGTCCTCACTGAGTGAGATTCCTGGCTTCGTTATATACTGTTATTTTTCCCCAGCAGGAGTTAGTCGGTGGATACCAAGCAGCTAGTGTGAACATGCTTATCTACTATGACTTTGCTGTTCCGTTTGTCGTAATGGTGCATTGATGCCATGCTGGGTGTTATGATATTAGTTTGGGTGTATGTATTAAAGATGATTACAAATTTACAGCAAAGCATTATCACAGGGTATAAGAACCAGTTCTACATGCGATTGAAATCACATATATATGAGTGTGCTGTGATTATGCTGCGGCCGTGTAGCAAATTCTTACCATATTTCAAGTACCAGCTGAATTATACAGTATTCGGCTTAATTAGACCTTAGAGATGCTGTGTTCCTGCTTTTTCAATACAAACCATTACTAGTTGTTAGGTTTAATAGTCATAGATGACTTTAATCTTCAATAGTATTACAACTAATGCCTTCTCATATGTACGTGTCGTCCTGCATGATCACACACTGCGTTGTTACACGACGTTACTGTCGTATTTTATAGTTATCGCTATTAAAGGAACAGTAGCCTCTAGATTCTAGGGTTATTTTCAGCTAATTTAGGTTATAATTGCGCTACATAAAAAGTTTCATGGTTCAATCACCATTAGAAATATTTTTTTTTAATGTTTTAAAACTAACGACTACAGTTTGATTACAACGACATGTAGACAACAACTGTGATGTCAGTATAGCTATGTGCGCAACAACTGTAATGTCAGTGCTACCACGTGCACAACAACTGTGATATCATGGCAATCATGTACACAACAACTGATGTGAGTGCCACTATGTACACAACAACTGTGATGTCACTCCCACCCTGCACACAACAACTGCGATGTCAGTCCCACCCTGCACACAACAACTGTGATGTCACACCCACCCTGCACACAACAACTGTGATGTCAGTCCCACCCTGCACACAACAATTGTAATGTCACTCCCACCCTGCACACAACAACTGTGATGTCACTCCCACCCTGCACACAACAACTGTGATGTCACTCCCACCCCGACCATTTTATAGTTAGTTTCGTTAGTTCGCTTAGTTTCGCTTACTCCTCATTGCAAACTACTTCTCGCTTACTTCCAGGCGCCACGCTGCACCTGTCCGGATTAGACATCCTGGACGGCACGACGGTGCTGGACGTGAAACCCTACGTTCCCGAATACGACCGACCGGGAAGCGTCCCCGAATCGCGGCGCGACAACGGCGCCGGCGACGACAAACCGCGCGACAACGCCCTCCCGGCGAACTCGGACGCCGCCGCCGATCCGCGGCCGGAAGCCCAGCAGGTGGCGCTGGGAAAGGAAGTCGTGCGGCGCGTGCAGTGGAAGTCGCCGGTCGTCGACTCCGAGTGCAGTCAGTCGATCGAGGCGAGCGACATCCTCGACCACAGCTGCTCGTTCGACAGCCACACGATCGTCGTGCACGCGACGCCCGGCGACGCCCGGCAACGCGCGGCAACGGCGGAAGACGGAGAAGGCGCCACCGACGCGGCGTCGCCGGAGGAGCGCTCGCCGGAGGGCGCCCCTGCGAACCGTAGCCGAGGACGCGACGACCGCGGGAGCGATGAGGAAACGCGCGTCTCGAACCGCGGGGGCGTCGACGATGGCGGCGGGTCCCCGCCTTCGCGCACGGACGCGCACGTACGAGACACTGGGACGACGCCGGTGGAGGGAACATTGGTGAGCGCCCGCGAGGCTTCAGTCGCCGATGCGACGGGGGACGCTACGCAGGAAACGCAGCCGAGAAATCTCGCGGCAATGACCGCGACGACGTCAACGACGATGACGATGGCAGCGATGACGACGGCGCAGGTCGCCGACTGGCTGGCTGACCCTCCCGTGCGGCCGCTGCGCGTGCGCTTCACGGAGCGAGCGCGGGAGCAGCTGCTGCGGTACTTCTCCCCCGGAGCGCTCGGCTCCTCCTCCTCCTCCCTCCTCCGGCACCTACGCTCGCACGAGGAGCTGCGGGCGTCCATCGCCGAGATCCTGTCGGCCGACCCGCGCTCCGTCTACCGGCGGCAGAAGTGCTCCGACCGGCTGTACTACCTCACCGTCGATGCCGCCCACGTCACGTGCTGGTTCGACGACGACGGCAGCGTCGAGGTCATCAAGGTGCGGCCCGACGGCGAGGTGTCAGGCGGCGCCACCTAGCGAGGGGTTGCGGCGGCGGAGAGCGCCACCTAGCGAGGGGTTGCGGCGGCGGAGAGCGCCACCTAGTGATGGGTCGCGACGGCAATTCTTGGCGCAGCGGCCGAAAGCGGACGGCGTCTGCGCCGCCACCACCGTGTCGCCAACCGAGGTGCAGGTGGTGCCCACCTGGCAGACTATGACCTACGCGATTTGTCGAGCGAGTGGAGAGTGGATGGCGTTCGTGATTGGTTGTAGACGTTCGCGGGTGTGGCTGGGGTGTGAAGCAATTGTGATTCGTGATGCCACCTGGTGGGCGATCGTGTAAATAACGAGCTGATTCAGACGGAACTTGCAGCACACGTGCACGACGATGGTTTGTGCATGTCCGTGTTTTAATACTCTGTAAGGATATAATATGTGTGTATATGTATTATGTATACATAAAATATTATAAAGATGTGGGTAAGGTGGAGAACCAACCAACTGTGGGCGCACACGCACCGTGCGCGCGAAATCTCTGCATTCCAAAGATTCTTCACATGCAGTATGCAGATATTTTTTAATTCCCAAACTACGTGTAACGCGTGCATATCTCTTGTGTTGTTTTTTTGTAATGACTGTCGGGGTTGTGCAAGTTAAGCCAGCTAGTCACCCGTGGAGGTCGTGGGTCATCATGAGTCATAGATAGGTCGAGTAACGGTTAAGTCTCTAGTGAGGTCTATCCATGACAATAGACAACGGTTGCCGGACAGACGGAACGAAATGGAAGCGAATGCGGATAGAAAGATGTCGTATTTATTTTTCCGTTACCTGTCGTGAATTTCCTCACGATGGATTGTTGGAAGGTAACACTTTATCATAACGATGTGATAAAATTGATCCGGTGATTGATGTATGTACATAGATGTGTAATGTGTGTATAATAGTGAGTAAATATGACACGTGCTCAGATGGACAGTGTTTCGATGTATAGTCCTACTTAGCGAACAGATTTGTTATTGGCCAACGATGTGTTACCGGTTTACTATCAATTAGCAAAATCAAGGTGATTTACATAGTGTGAATATTAATGTATTTATTGTGGTAGCAATAAACGATAGTAGTATTGATTCATCTGATTGTTTGTCTGTTTTTTTGTTTACCGGCGGCGGTCACTGGAATATAGTAACATCAGCAGTGTATAATAGAGATAATAGCAGAAGATAATAGTGTATAATATAGTCTGTATTTTACACTCCTGGTAAGGTTACACGTGTTGCCACTAGGTACTGTGTATCTGTGTTTGGAGTTTTCCGTTGAATGGAGGGAGAGCTTTTTTTCGCGTTACTTTTTCTATCAATGACTGACAGACCATTGTTGCTGGTGGCTTTAAATAAATATATAAATACATATATATATATATATCTTTATTTATTCTGCGATATCTACTATATAACTGGTCAGTTGGGAGAGATGATAGTGTTATATTGAGCAATATATTGTGTTATATATTGGCTGACACTTGTTGCGCATGAGAAGTAGTTAGCATGATGTCAAACAAAATATAATCACATAATATTCTCTTCACATAATATTACCTCGAACGCTAGAGTGTAATTCTATTCATAATAAATGTTCTTCTAATGGGCATTTATGTTAGATATCTACTCTAAGATATCACCAATGGCAATACGTTTTAAATTCATAACCTTTACAAAGTATTAATATGCGTTGGCCTGAAAGCACACTAATGTACCTACAGTAAACGTGGCGAGATTCTGTCCAGAAGGTATCTGCCGCTGGCATACATTTTAGGACTTGTTACCAGTATGTATTCATAATAAGAGGGCATGTGAGGCATTTATCATAAAAATCTACTCTCAGATAATCCTACTTTCTTTTAAATGTATAATTTTTACAAAATATTAATCGTATCGGCAGATATTGCGCATGCGCGAACACGTATCTTGGCCCGCATACGCAGAGCGGACCTTACATGCAAGCTCTTCCTCTTATTTCTTAAATAATGTCTACTGATGGAATGTTATCATATAAATCTTTGCTAGGATAACTCCTCTTCATTTTAAATGCATAATCTTTGCAAAATACCATTTCTCTCGGTTATCATATAAATCTTTGCTAGGATAACTCCTCTTCATTTTAAATGCATAATCTTTGCAAAATACGTTTTCTCTCGGTTTTTCGCATATGCGCATGAGATATTGCGCATGCGCGCGCACCGTGTTAGGCGTCCAGTGCGCAGCCGTCTGAGGCAAACTTCATAATATAGCTTGGTGAGGGAGAGAGGGGATGGGAGACTAAGGATAGGTTGCAGGCACTGGCGTAGCTAAGGGGAGGCACAAGGGGGCCATGGCCCCCCCTGTTGATTGGCAAACAAAACAAAACAAAATTTTTCCTTGCCTCTCACGCGTCTTCACAGGACTGGCCACAATTCCTGTTACTTCTGCATCTGCTGAACGAACATTCTCTAAAATGAGCATTGTCAAGTCTAAACTTCGTTCTTCTAACAATGACCCAGCCACGATTCTCTGCTCTCATTCTCCTTTTCGTTGAACAGGAGTTAGTGAATGACATAAATGTCAACGAAATCCTCAAAATGTTCTGTGCAAAATCGACGAGAAGACTTGACTTTGGATTTTGAGATTGCTGCAGCAGACAAAACATGACTAAAAGAAAGAAGATAATTCTTCTTTGCTCAGATTTGTGTTGTTGCAAGTTGGCTTTGATTGAATTTTATGGTTCTGAACTCTTATTGACAGAAGAAAAGAAATGGAAATGCTTTGTGAATAACTTTGATATTATTCGAACTTATAGGACGGCCATTTTGGCATCCACCTCGTTTTTTATTTCAAATCGATTTCACAACTATTTTAAGATAACTGTTCTCTATCAGGGGAGGCAAAAACAATTCTTTTCATGGTAAATTTCCTTTTTATTTTAATAGAGCGGCTATTTTGGCAGCTACCTTTGTTTTTATTTGAAATCAAAATTTCAATATGGTTTTTAGTTCTTCATCAGAGGAAAGCAAAAACATTTTTTATAACGAACAAAATGTTAAATGTGATCTTTAACGCTATTGTATTCTAAAACGATGTAAATCGTTTGTAATTTAAATAAATTGCATGTTTATTCAGTGCAGTTCCAACACATCTACCGTGTTTTCTGTCGTTAGATCTTTATTTCGATTTCATTCAATATGCCTCTACTTTTTCAAAAAATAATTTAACTTTTAACTTTTATATGAGGAACTTGAAACAGTTTATGACGGATAAATGCAACATGCATGGTACTGCTAACAACAACAAATCAAACTAATTCCCAATATTCCGTCAGGCTTGAATAGGACATAGGCGTAGCTAAGGGGGGGGGGCACAAGGAGGCCATGACCCCCCTCGTTGATGCGAGAGTACAAAAATTAAGAGAGAAGTGCCCTTAATGGGATTGGTTATACCACTATTACCTATACTAATAATGAAAATGAAATGCGCCAAAATGCCTATTTTGATGCACATATTTTCAAAAATTACCTACTTGTGGGGGAGAAACACCCTCCCCCGTTGAGAAATTGCTTCATCGCTGTCTTTGGTCGCTTAACTCTTTTCTCCCTCCCCTGAAAAACACTGGCTTCGTACACCATTTTCACTGCCTCTAGCTAAGGGTCCACCAACTGGTCGTGTGTAACCTCAGAGCCTTCCGCGCGCCACAGGCCAGGGCCATCGTCCCCACGTTGATGCGATCGGGAGTGGAAAAAATAAAAAGCGAGGGAGGGGGTATAAGGGATTAGCATATGCACTTCTCATATAAGTTACCCCCTAATACTGGAATTTTAGTGTAGGCAGAAATGCCATTTTCATGCACGAATTATTCAAAAATCTCCCTACCGGTGGGAGGGGGATACCCTCCCACCACCTACCCCCTCAGTCGCATCGCTTCCGCTCTCGCCTTGGCCCCCCTGTTTCCAATTGCTGGCTACGCCACTGCAGACATGAATGTTTGCATGAATCTTGCGTGATGTTAACTCCGTTGATCTTGCATCCTTGTAGTTATTAGCTAACTTAGGTGAGAGGGAGAGAGATAGAGGAGCGAGCTAGAGAGAGAGAGATAGAGAGAGAGAGAG